TTGCCAGGCCACCGGATAGCACCGGATCAGCGGCCGGGGCGCCCCCATCTCTGCGCCGGGAGTGTCAGATGAACGGATGATCCGACTCTCCCGGCGCAGAGACTGGGGGCCCGCTGGCCGCTGGATAGCGATCCGGCTTCCGGCAAGTCCCACCATCTATGCACAGGGACTGTGCTGGGCCCCCCAGGCTGAGGCCCCAGTGCCGGAGCACCGGCTGCACCGGCGGTAGTTCCGCCACTGTCTCCAGATCAGGGGTACTGACTTTCCAGAATTCAATATTTGCATGTTAGTTTTGCAGTAATTTCTTTAGCTACACCAAGTATAGCTAGGCATCTAGTTTGTTTAACTGGATGGTGCTAACAGGGCCACCAACGGTTTAGATTTTGGCCAATTCAGCAGGAATGGAATGGCCAGTTTAACAGTGGAATCTCCTGAGCTGTCCATATTACTGAAGGACAGGCTCATTTTATTTACTGATCTGTTAGTACTAGGGATGCACCGATACCATTTTTTCAAGACCAAGAACGAGCACTGAACCTTTTCCTCAAGTATGCGCCGATACCAATTACTGATACCTTTTTTTTTTGTGTGTGTCATGTGACATTTTTTCTAAAAAAAAAACATGCTAATGATGTTAGAACAGTGGTGGAGTGCCAGGGCTCAGTCGCAGCTGCATCTCCTGTGACCCTGGTAGTTCTGCCACTGACTCCAAGCTGTAGAGGGACTACAAATCTCAGCAATACATTATAGAGCAGTGCAAAATACCACCAGTTATAGAGGAGAATAAATCCCAGCAATCCATTATAAGAGCAATACAAAATACCACCAGCCATAGAGGACTACAAATCCCAGTAATACATTATTCAACAATGCAGAATACATTCAGCTATAGAAGACTACAAAACCCAGCAATACATTATACAACAATGCAGAAAAATATAAAGCTGCATACTTCGTGTTGTTCACCAGGGCTGTGCGGGGTCTCAGAAGGCCTAAAGGGTATGGTTTGAATCAGGAGTGAACCTCACACTTTTTTTTCCTTCTGACTGTACAAAAATAAAACATGTCATTTTCTTTTGTTTTATGTCCCTTTGCTGCAACGAAAATTCATCCAAAAACAAAATTTTGTACATACTACCGCTAACGAATTTTGTCAGAAATTTTAGATATTGGAAATTCGTATTCATTTGCATTCGTCATTCTGTCAAGAAATACACTCATCCCCATAGTTAGAGCCAACGTGTGACATTGCAGCTGTCACACGTCGGCTTTATTGATCACACAGTTCATGATCTTCTCCCTGCAGAGAGCGGGATTCCCCCCTCCCCTCTCTGTTCCTCCAGTGCTTACTGAAGGGACAGATGAGGGAGGAGTAGGGTTGCCACCCGTACGGGTTTCACCCGTACAACCCGGGTTTGAAGGAGGCGGGTCAATCAGGTGGCAGGGTGGATCCTGACAGTTATGTTGCGATCTTTCCTGGCAATAGCCCGCTATATGCTAAGTTTTGGGTCACAGGAGGACATTAGTCTTCTTTTAAACCCAGCCATGGTAGAATAACAAGAGCACATGCTCTCCCATCATTACTTGCAGGCAGAGTTGCGGGGGAAAAGGGTTGGTTGTCTGGAGTGTTGGGTGTGGAATTCTGGGTAAGTGTATAATAATGGAATACATGCAAATATAAATTATTAAAAATTGTTTTCTGATAATTGTTTGTGTTTAATGAACAGCATAGTAGTGACATCACCAAATCTCACTTCAAATCTCCTAAACTAGCAGTCAAAGACAGCAGAGCTTTAAATCTCACACTGCAGATAGAAATCTATGAGGCTGTAAGCACCGGAGTGCCTAGGTACGTTCCTATACCAGGAAGTCCACTGTTATTTTCAGGAGGAATTCTAGACAATAGGTACGTTTTCAGAGTACTGCTCAGGCACAATTAATATTTCTAGATGTAAATCTAAATTTTTTGAGTTCAGATCCACTTTAAACCCTATTCCCTTCATGCACTAAACTCTGCTGTCTGTCATTGTCAGGAAGTCAAAATTTCACATGTAACTCTGATAATGGCCCCTGTTCACATCTGAGTGTTCAGTCACTTGTAACAAAATGCCTGTGACTTGAAAAAGTAGATGGGCTTAAATTCAGGCAGAGATGAGCATTTTTGTTTCCATAGTCTTCATTGGTAACTCCTTAAAACGTGCATCACATGTTTTTTGAGTGTTTTTTATTAATGTATCTCTGGCGTTTTTGCATGATGTCACAGATGCTACTGCTTTCCATTGGGCCAACCAATGGAAGCGTGAAAACGGGGCAGCAGAGCACTAGAATACGCACATGTCAGAGCTCTACAACCACCTGAATCACTTCCAGTGTAAGGCCTCATTCACACTATGCAACGTGGGATTCCTGCGGCAGGAACCTACGAATTCCTGCTGCAGCAAACCCAAATCTCCTGTTCAGATGTAGCCGCTGTACCCGTTCAAGTTAAAGACCAGGTGACAGCTGCAGCATCTGTAAGTGGCACTCCGCATGTAATCGTTTGTGATACGATTACATGCAATTTGAAATAGATCACTGTCCCTGGACACATCTCTCCTGCATCCGGGGATACAGTAATCTATTCCAAACTGCATGTAATCGTTTCATATACAATTACATGCGGACTGCCTTTTGCAGATGTGGCTGCTGTCACCCAGTCATTAACTTGAATGGGTGTCAATGGCACATCTAAATGGGAGATTTGGTATTCTTGCCACAGGAATCCATAATGTGAATGTAGCCTAAAGCTGACAGTTCGTTTTACACATGTAAACAGACTCCTAGTAGCTATAGCTGCTGGGAGCCTGCTTACAGGGGCCTGTTACTGCCAACGTATGGCATACATTGGCAGCGAAAGAGTTAAAGGTAGCAGTAAAAAGTGTCCAGTTATCTATGTTATTAACAGCAGTCAGATGGTCTCAAACTACCTCAGCTCTCGTACCTGTATACCCCTTATGCACCTAAGCAATTTTTACATTTCTGCTATGGGTCTGTTTATTTAGCAATAACTTTGCCATTAATGA